AAAGCTTAACATAAGGCATCGCTCCGCGATAGCATCCCCGATTCACCCTTCGTCAAAAATGTTAGCTGGATACGAGCGATAGCCGGCATCAGTTCTTGAGAACCGCCGAGTCATTTTCAGTCGGGATGCGCCGCTAAGCTGAGATCGGTGAAGTGAAGGCTGGAACCCGAGTGGAGGTTTGTTTCAGAATACCGTGACGGGCTACTGAGAATGCGTTGTTCGATTCTTGTATCCCACCACCGCTTCATCCCAGTTCCATCTTCACGATGTTATCATCGCAGCTTTCGAATATTTTTTTTCTTTTACTTGTCACCAAGATTTTCGGTGATTTTAATAATGGCGTACCTCTTAATTCTTCGACTACTGATACAGTAGCGAAGTATGAGCGTCGAGAACCGCATCTTCAGACGCACACGCCAGCCGTACCACTGGCGTCACTTGGAAAAGAACACTGCGGTGACAGCGGTGTAGCACCTGTTGCTTGTCAGACACAAAGGTGCAATGATTATTTGCACAGGTCTCTGCTTGTCCTTATTTCTTTTTTATTATGTTTTGCGATAAGTCACGTCTGGAAGGATCCGTTATAACGACGGGGTTCGGATGTCCGTTGGCCTCCGCCTGTAAAAAAGTACCTCTGACGGCCGGCCATCTTAGTTTTCCCTCTATGCCGACATGTGATTGCCGAATGAATAGATGAAGCGATAGATGCATCATTATAAGTTAGTTGTCCTGCACAAAAGCGGTAGTCTGCTCGGTTGAGCAAGAGAGGGAGAAAGAAAACAAGAAGTTAAAATCGAGAGAGAAAAGTAAGCAAATAATGAGAAAGATAAAATTCAAGAGAAATTAAGAAGAACAAAAAGAAGGCACGGAAGATAAAGACAGAGTAAGAAAGAAAGGAATTAAGAAAATTGATAAATAAATGGAAAATTAAGAAAGAGAAAGGAAAAGAAAAAAAGAGGAAAAAATAAGAAATGAAGAGAAAGAAAGGAATAGAGAGAAATAATGAAAAAGAAAGAAAGAATGATAGCAAAAAATTGAAGAGAAAAAATAGTATTAAAAATGAAGGAGATAGATGTTAAGCAAAAGAAAGTGCGAATTTTTTTTTTAGACCAGGAGGTTCACGCACAGAGGTGGGCGGCCTCAGCTGCACAGCAATGCTTGCCTCTTTATTAAAATATTCATTTATAAGTTAGGTGCTCAACCAAATGCACTAAAATTTCGTCATCTTATTTGTGAATGCAGAGAGATTAACCCAATTGCTAACATAGATTATTATAGAAAATTGGATGTCATGGCTCCTTCAAAACTTCCTGCCCATCATAGAGTTCCTGCCTTCCTATAAAACCAGGCATAATATGCTTGCAGCACTTACAGAAATTATTGCAGTTTCCAGTTCCCAGCTCCACTTTTTGAATGGAACATTCTCCAGTACTCTCGACTGCCCCTCCATTTCACTATTCAACAAACACTCATTTGCTTTTTGCATTTCGTTTTACCACGTTTCATTCTTCGCTAAGACTTCCGACTTCTTGCCAGCTTGCCATTTCCTACTTGAGCTAGGCTTATGCATTACACCACTATTAAAGGAACACAATTCAGTGATGAACGTTGGCCTCAACGCCGGATCCAGCACTACACCCCGCATAGAACACCCTGTGTCCCCGTGTAGAACACCCCGTGTAAGGACACTTCGCGTCCATTAGACGACTTGTAACCACCCCATGCTGCCACAGGTGCGATAAAAGATTGCGAATAATGCCAACGATTTCACAGCAGTAGAAAAACACTTCCAAAATCCACTACTGTAAACAGACATTTTAAGTATGCACGTTGAGGCCATTAAAGATACCAACAACTACCGGATGAAAGCATACAGAAATCGAAGAAACAAAAGCTTTGTTTAAGTAGTAATCTGTATTAACACTTTAATAGGATGACACAAAAAAATGCTGTCCCTCTTTCTGGAGCGTGAACCGAATCATAGAAATATGTCATAGAACACGTTCATCATCAGCTCTCGCAAAAAGCTTGCCAGGCACCACCATGTTGTCCATGAAAAATGTGCAGTACTATGAAATGACAACTGAAATGATGCCACTCAAATGAAAAAAGATGCCCGTGTCTTAATAAAACATATAATGAATACTAAATACAATCTTTTAACATATGTATGCACATAAAACAATTTACAGTTTCGATTGAAACACTATGATAGTGTAGAGCACTGATACACCAGTGGTCTTGTATAAACAAATACATCCCATTTATCAGAGGTCCCAAATACACATATTTAGAAACCGATTTTAGGCAATCAATGTAGAAATGTTTGCATGTTTGCATTAGTTGCATGTTAACCATGTGTGCAAGCATAGTTCCTCATATGCCGTTGCTAAACATAAACACATGTTCACATGCACTCATGTAAAAACTCATGTTCACACTCATGTAAAAACCGCACCCTTTTGTCATACCCTTGAAAAGGTGTGGTCATGTTGAATCAGTCCATATTTGATTTCTTTAGACTACGTGCATGAAGTGAGTAATGGTCTGCCTTAATATACCGAGACTTTATGCTACCACAAAAGTAACACCACTTTTTTTTCTTAAAAGATTGAACTATTAATTCATGTGCACTTTGTGGCTGACATGGCTTTGCTAGCACTGCCAGTTATGCTTACAACTTGGTTCACTAGCAAATCAGTGGATATTACCATTTCCAGGGTAACCAGCTGCTGAAGAATCCCTTTTAATTCAAAGCTCTAAGTTACTTACTGACTGAAATACACTTTGTTGCATAAAATTTGTATCAGTTTTTCTTTGCTAAACTCGCCTGCCTCCCCATCCACTTTTCAGCTACCAAATCCAGAGTACAATCCCTATATAAGCCTATACAGTATATGCCTTTGCTACAACCGTTATCTGCCTGCAGGCACCTGCAGCATGCTTTTCGTATAGGCCACACTACTTTATGAGATCCTATTTCCGTATGCGTATGAAATGCCCTAACAGTATGGACCACTACCGTCTCAGTAGCAAGCCTATTCTAGTTATTTTGTTGTAGAAGTTCCAGAAGAGGCACGGTTGCGCATTAATGCAATAACTAGTTCGAATGGAATGTTAACTGCATGCATCACCATGAGATCCTCAAATACGCTTTTTTTTTGCTCAAGATCCAAGTTTTACAAAAATTCTTTGTGCTTTTCACATTGCTTAGGCCGGTACTGTGGCCAGTGCATGCATAATTATAGGTGAATAATGCTTCTCCACTTATTCCTGAACAATCAAAGGGTATGGATTTAACTGCCCAAGTGTTGCTCCAGCCAGTTACGTAGAGTTGAATAAACAACACAGAAATGCTTAGTAAAAGTGTCAAGTAGACAATTTCAGACAGTTAAAGAGACATCTAACAAAAATCTTTAAAGGAAATGTAGAAATTCAAGGTGGGTCTGAACAGCAGTCCAGTGTCAAAGGATATGGTTAAACATTTAAAATGACTGGTTGGCATTTCGAGCTATGGGTACAAGACCACGATAAGACTGGCAGCCACATGAACAAACAGCACATAGTCTGCAAGCGGGATTCTGCATCGCCGACAGGCCATAGTAGCTTTAATCTTCAGTCTTCTTCTAAACATTCCCGTCGTTTGGTTTTCTGCATGTCACCATATTCTCTCACAGTTAGTGCTTCTACCGCGTAGCATAGGTACTGCTACCTCCAAAAGGTGCTGCCACACGACGCTACAAAAAGCTGAGCGGTCCAAGATAAAACATCCTCACCCAATTCTAGGTGAAGCAGAAACATGCAGCCACACAGTATCACAACGCTTATCTCGGCAGGTCATTAAAAGGGGCCCATCAACACTCTTCGAAAATGGTCAGAAAACTCTGCCGATCGGTAGTTCGGGCTCCCAATAGCACGCGAGTCAAATATTGTAACGCAGCACTTGGCCTGGTCTCCAAGTCTGCTCAAAATTGGTTTGCCTCAACAAATGAAGACACAACCTCGAAAATCCCTCGTCACAGTCACTGCATCAGCCATTGGTTAATTTTAGCATGGCGAGCTTAGTTGTTACTCGCACTGTCACGACTTGTTCACTACGCAGGTGCGTGCAATCGCACTTAAAAGCCACGTATTCATGAAAAAAAAAAAGGAGAGAGAAGCATTTAAGATCAAGAGGTGTGTGTGACGTATCTTCTTTCTCTGCGCTATCCCTCGCTGCTTAGCTCCCAGTGTGTTGGTTTGGATGAGAGAAGAGAGAATGCCATCGCAGCGTGCGACAAATCTTTGCAACTGTGCTCGTACCAGACGGATTCTGACGAATTCTTGCGCCAATGAATTGATAAGGCAATGAGCTCCTTTAGCGAATCCGATCCATGTCTACTTGACAAAGTGCTGAAGGGCACCTTTAAAGTCTTTCTCAATTACTCATAACAACTGTCTAGATATCTTGGCTAGAGTGTCCTGCTTGCGTCTTCTGTTTTTTATTTGATCAGCGGCGAGTAGTGAGATTTCAGTGGCACATATATGCTAGGAGTTTTTGCTTTGCCTAGTTTCCACCTAACCACATGCACAGCTGTATAAGAAAAAAACAGAAAATGTTCCAGGTCATATCATTTGGAGATGTTTCCTTTCTTGAGAGGCTTGCCTCTGTGTAATCTTAGTTTGCATGCAGCTTTCGACGCGCTCATGGGGGCAAAAAGAGGAAGTGCCTCTTGTAGCTCGCAATAACTACCACACTACAATAAAATGAACCCGGATATAACAAAATATCGGTTATAACGAAGTAAATGAAAAATAGTCTTGCAATAGATACAGTGTTATAAATAAGTTACATAACAAATTTTCAAGTATAACGAACATATTTTCTTGCAACATGCAACTTTGTTATAATGAGGTTTGAGTATACTCGCAAATTTTACTAAACACTCAAGAAGTTGGAAATATCCTCGCAGCAGGAGATTCTTGAAGAAATCTAATCCAATAACGACATTATGACATGATTCAGTGACTCTTCTGGGGCCCGTTTAATAAAGCTTTGGTACACAGTCGTTGCGTTTTTCAGGTACAAAGAAAAGGCCTTCGAGGGGTTTTCTCAAACAGTAACTGGCACAGAATCCTCTTGAGTAACTACATACTCCCTACATATGTAAATGTTGCCGAAAAAGAACTTGCCAGCGGCACGTCTGAAGCTCGCAAGACAACTATGATAATTTGTTCCTTAGCAGATGAGCGATTACCATGTAAACGCAAGCTCGTGAATACAATATAACTTGATTCAGTTAGAATGTAATTGTGTAAACGGCTATTTTATGCTAGACATCACTGCACTAGATGAGCAAAGATACGCAATTCACACCATTCGTTAAGCACTATTAAAAGGCATGGTAGAAAGGTAGCAACAAACATTGGAATGCACAAAAATAATTCAGCAAGATGACAAAATAGAGTCCAAAAGGGGTGTATAGAACAAAATGTATAATACACTGCAATAACACTGCTGGTTTAAAAAGAAGCTACTAAAATGACAAAAGAAAGCACAAAAATGTGTAAAAACAATGGACACAAATTTTGGTTTCCTGAAAAAAAGGCACCATATTTTCTCACATACGAACTGCGTCCCTACAACCAAGTATTTAAAAAAAGGTTAAAAAAAAGAGAAAGAGATCCTCGCATATTGTCGTGAAGTCGCCTTCCCTGCATTACCGTGGAGCCCTGCTGTAAACCCAAATTTTAGACTGACATTCCCTTATAACCCACACGTAGTTGTAGCTAGGAATGTTTTGTATATCTTCTGCAGGTGATGCAGAAATATTCAGTGAAGTAGATATGTGCCCATCTGGGTATTGATATGCCTACAGGGAAACCGTCAGTGACTATTCCTACGATTGGGAACTCTGTAAGGTTTAATAACATTCAGTATTATTGTTTCAATAGATCTTCTGAGAGAAATGGTTGAAGTACCTGAGAACGAAAACTTCAAACATGATGGCCAGACATCGAATTCTGCCTGATGTAAAATGAACCATCATAGAGAAGAATGCACCGACAGCACCACATGTCGATAAAGTTATATTTAAAAGTACATATTTTAGTAGGTATTCGGTACTGTTACCATTTCCACATAATTTGCGTGCGCAAAACGCTCTAAAACCAAATTATGATCTACAAAAAGAAAATAAGAAAAGACACTGCCATACGAACTGCCACAGAAGCAACATTGTCACCGCATTCATAAACCGACAACGCCTCCAACACATCTCCACCAAAAACAATGCCTGCGTCCCTCCGTCAACACAATTAATCACAGTCGCTTATGAGCACAACTTGAGTGTCTATACTTTAGAAAAACAACGAAATGCACGTGACGGCAAGAGACAACTTCGATACCCGTGTGCATACATAAACTACTCTCAAAAGAAAAAAAATATGGGCAAAAATTTAAAAAGTCAGAATGCAGCTTTGACTCACCCCATCACTGTTGCTCATTACGAGAATAATAGCACAAAAAAGACAGCATTCAGTTGCGCAAAGAGCAACAGCTATAGAAGCCACAAGGTTTCACATTCAAATGATACTTAACTGTACAACACCGAGGCATTATTCCCGCATTGAGAATTCTCTCACTGCACCCAGCCCTAACTGTAACTACAACTGATCTTTTCACTGTACACTATGACGATGTCTCGACTACAGTGCCAGTGGGTGGCTGGCAAAAACAAAACTTAGCTGTTCAATCTGTCATTGCCCTATGGGCAATCACGACCATCCAGAACGGTGAGCTGATTTTCGCAACATTGCAAACTCACACGCGATGTGTCGCTGCTCAAACCACCGGAATGTACAGGTCTGCAATGGCCACTTCTTTGCGATCCACAAGTGGGACTAAACCCTCGTATTATACAGCACTTCACTCGCACTGCAGCGCCACTGTCTTTCCTTTTGATGCACTATGCCGGTGCGGCTGTGCTGGCGTGCCTGTGCCGGGAGGCTGTGCCAATGTGGCTATGCTGGCGCGGTTGTACCAATGGGGCTCTTATCAAAGCTCCGGTCGTGCTTCACAGTCCTTGCACACCCGGACTGCCCCTTCCCAGCCACGGGAGGGGACGGGCCGGCGCGCCGTTGAGCAGCCGTTGCAGACACACCTTCCGCAACTGCGGCAGTGGTGAATCGGGTTGCGTGGGCCGAATTCCTGCTTGCAGACGGCACATTCAGTGACCTCGTTGTCAGCCTGCCAGTAGGCGGGTCGTGCCGTGTCCTTTATCAAACCTAGAACAGATCCTTCATAGAGCAAAGTTTTGTTTGGCTAAGCTGCTTCCTTTGCAGAGACAGGAATGCAGCTTAATACAGTTACAGTTTTATGCAGACATAACCAGCATGACTAGCTTTTCACAGAAATATAGTAGACTGAAACACAATTGAACCCCAACACTAAAAAAAAAAAAAAAAAAAAACATGCATCAGGGAGCAGTTTTGGTCCCTTATGTTAGGTGTTTCTCATTGATTAAGAGGGTACATGGCACTTAAAAAAATCTTTTATTTATAAATCAATTTTAATGAAACTTGGAAAGTGTATGTATATTTGTGTGCAGATCTCAAATGTGCAATTATTTTTTGTGTGTTAAGTCTAGTTTTTAAAATACTTTTTAAAATACTAAATATTTCATGTGCCTTTTGGGGAGCAAGCTCTCCTGAAGGGGAATGTACCAAAATATTGGAATAATGCTAACATCAACTAAATCCGTAAGAAAGGGGATGATAAGGACTTGAAGAATTACAGGCCGATCACCTTGCTGTCCGTCGTGTACAAGCTATTGTAGCGGAAGCTGCTAAGCACCACCGCATTCTTTTCTATCCCGTCTGCAGCCGGCTGTCGACAGCGCGCCTACTCGCGGCGCCAGCTCCTCCTCCTCCGTGTTCGGGGAACAACGTGTTGTCGGGGCCGGCTCCGGGGATTAGACCGGCTGCATGCTACGTCTGCTCGCTCGGTGGCCCCCTTTTCCTCTTTCTTGTAGAAGAACGCGGGGGTGCCTCATTCTCTCCCTCGTCGAGGGGAGCTCTCGTCACTCGCACGGAGTGGAAATAAACAGTCTTGCCCTGCAACTCCAAACCTGCTTCACGTCTCCTTTCTCGCTGCCTCCGGCAGCCGACATTTCCGGCCGCTACAAAATTGGTGACCCGAACGCTTCAACGAACACGCCGCGATGAGCTCCGACGACAACGCTGCTGCCTCCACGCCTGCGGTCATCGCCACAGAACTGAAGCTACCAAATTTTTGGCCGAAAAATCCAAGAGTTTGGTTCAGCCAAGTGGAGGCCCGTTTTCAACTCCGGCACATCACCTCGCAGTCGACAAAATACCTTCACGTCGTCGCAGCCCTGCCCCCCGAAATCGCCGACGCTATCGACGACATTTTGGTTTCACCCCCCGCGCAAGAAGAATATGACACCCTCAAAAAGACGGTGCTGGACCGCCTCGAGGCGCCTGAAGAAAGCAGACTGCAGCAGCTCTTGTGTCGCGAAGAGCTGGGCGACCAACGACCTTCCCAACTGCTGCACCGTATGCGGCAACTACTCGGTGTGCACGCGCGTCAGGACGGCCAGCTCCCACTTCTTCGTGAACTTTTCCTGCAACGGCTCCCCCAGTCGGTGCGCGTGGTTCTCGCGGGTTCAAATGAGACGTCCCTTGATCGACTAGCGCAACTTGCCGATCGCATCACGGAATACTCAACTCCAACCTTTGCGCCCATAGCTGCTGCAAGAACACATGAGCAACCAGATCGACTGTCGCGCCTTGAGGAGAAACTGCAACACCTTACCGAGACCATGCAGAAACTTGTGCTATCTGGCGCTCCCCAACAGGACGAGCAACGACGCAACCGATCTCCTTCAAGACACCCAAGCTCTTCCCAGAGAAGCCATGCACGAGATACACAGGACGGAGTTTGCTGGTACCACCGTCGTTTCGGCACGGGTGCTAGCCGCTGCACTCAACCTTGCTCGTTTCCGGGAAACGCTCCGGCCAGTCGTTAACGGCGGCTTACGACATCGGCCCTCCACCCAGCCGCCTGTTTTTCGTAGTCGACCGCGTAAGCAACTCGCGCCTGCTAGTCGACACGGGAGCCGAAATCTCTATTGTCCCGGCAACCCCCGAGGATCGCCGACGTAGCAAGAACACATCGTCGCTGCAGGCAGTGAACAACACTGCCATCGCTACGTACGGCTTCCGCTCGCTGACAATAGACGTCGGACTCAGGCGCCTGTTTCGCTGGGTCTTCGTGGTGGCGGATGTTAATTTCGCCATACTCGGAGCAGATTTTCTCAGCCACTTCAACCTGGATGTGAGCGTACGTGACCGTTGCCTCAAGGATAACAACACATCCCTCAAAGTACGTGGTTTGGAGTCAAACATCTGCTCATCTGGCATCTGCGCCTTCCAGCCAGTATCAGCCTACCACCACGTCCTGGCCGAATTCCCCTCGCTCACCAAGCCCCGCAACACTGAACAGCCGGTGAAACATAACGTGACTCACCACATCGTCACCACCGGGCCGCCAGTCACCGCCCGGCCACGACGGCTGTCCAGCAAAAGGCTTCAAGCTGCACGCAGGGAGTTCGAGCATATGCTGCAGCTGGGAATTGTTCGCCCTTCGTCTAGCAACCATTCATCGCCGCTACACATGGTGCCCAAGGACGACGATTGGCGCCCGTGTGGTGATTACAGAGCCTTGAACGCATCGACAACGCCGGACCAGTATCCTCTGCCACACATTCACGATTTCAGCGCGCGGCTGGCAGGTACGAAAATATACAGCAAGATCGACCTTGTAGCGGCATACCACCAAATCCCCGTCGAACCGCAGGACATACCAAAAACAGCCATAACAACTCCGTTCGGCCTGTTTGAGTTTGTCCGCATGCCCTACGGCTTGAAAAATGCCGCACAGACCTTTCAAAGGTTCATGGATGAGGTCACCCGGGGTCTTCCTTTCATCTTTGTCTACCTGGATGACATTTTGGTGGCCAGCAGAACGCCTGCAGAGCACGAAGAGCACCTCCGCCAGCTCTTTCAGCGTTTGGATGAGCACGGTCTGGTGTTGAAACCTCAAAAGTGCGTGTTTGGAGTAGAGGCGCTCAACTTCCTCGGCCACCACATCACTGCTGAAGGCATTATGCCATTGGAATCGAGGGTGGAATCCGTCAAGAAGTTTCCAGCTCCAACATCTTTTCGCAAGCTGAGGGAGTTCCTCGGGCTCTTAAACTTCCACCGGCGCTTCATTCCGTCTTGTGCTCGAGTGCTCCAGCCATTGACCGACCTGCTGCGCCGAGACGACCAAAAGGCACCAGAATTTTGTTGGTCTGACGAACACCAGAACGCTTTCCAGAAAGCTAAGGACGAGCTAGCCGCGGCTACCCTTCTCATTCATCCACGGCCTGAAGCTCCTACACGCCTCATGGTGGACGCTTCCTCCACATCGGTCGGAGCAGTGCTGCAGCAACAGGAGGGCAGCCAGTGGAAGCCACTGGGCTTCTTTTCGAAACGTCTGAAGCCTGCAGAAGCACGGTACAGCACTTTTGGAAGGGAGATGCTCGCAATATATTGTTCCATTAAGCATTTCCGCTACTTCCTCGAAGGCCGTGACTTTTACATCTTGACAGACCACAAGCCCCTCACCTACGTATTCAAAAACAACAGTTCCTCCTACTCAGAACGAGAGATCCGTCAGCTCTCACTCATCTCCGAGTTTTCTACAGACATCCGCCACGTTCCCGGAGTCGAAAACGAAGCAGCTGACGCCTTGTCTCGCGTCAATGCTTCCAGCACAGAAGTCCTGGACTTCGAAGCTATGGCCGCAGCTCAGCGGGACGACCCCGAGTTGACAAGACTGAAGGGAGGGGGATCTTCACTCGTGCTCTCGGAGGTTGCACTTCCCTACGTCCAGAGCACGATAACCTGCGATACCTCCCAGGCAGCACCACGACCTTTTGTCCCACTGAACTTTTGCCGAGTGGTATTCAACACTTTCCACTCCATCAGCCACCCAGGTGTCCGTGCCACCCAGCGGCTGATAACGCAACGCTTCGTTTGGCCCGGAGTCAACGCGGACGTGCGACGATGGGCTCGGACATGTGAAACGTGTCAGCAAGTGAAAGTGACTCGCCACAATCGGGCTGCACTACAGGAATTTCGGACTCCTGAGTCGCGGTTTGACCACGTTCACGTTGACCTCGTGGGACCACTACCGCCCTGCCAAGGATTTAGGTACCTGCTCACATGCATCGACAGGTACAGCCGGTGGCCCGAAGCTATACCAATTGCGGACATATCAGCTGAGACCGTCGCGCAGGCCTTCATTCAAACATGGGTGTCCCGCTTTGGCTGCCCCGCCCGCATAACAACTGACCGGGGACGGCAATTCCAGAGCAACCTCTTTTCCGCACTTTCAACGCTCCTCGGCACGAAGCTGCAGCATACAACCGCCTACCACCCCGCCAGCAACGGAATGGTTGAGCGCTTCCACCGGCAACTCAAAGCCGCACTGGCAGCGAAACTCGACCGCCAGCACTGGGTGCAGAAGCTCCCGCTCGTTCTTCTTGGCCTACGCTCAACGGTGAAGGAAGACCTCGGCTTCAGCGCAGCGGAAATGGTCTACGGCTCAACAGTGCGCCTCCCGGGAGAATTCTTCTCCGACCAGACACCTTCCGCCCCAACAGCCTCCGATCACATCGAGAAGCTGCGCGCATGGCTCGCGCAACTCAGGCCAACAGCACCTCGCATCGCCCGCAACAGGAAAGTTTTCACTTTTCCTGACATGGACTCTGCTACCCATGTGTTCGTGCGACACGACGCAACGAAGCCGCCCCTTACTCCGCCGTACGATGGCCCATTCAAAGTTTTGGGACGTACTAACAAAACCATCGCAATCGACGTGCGGGGGAAACGAGAAGTCGTCGCCGTTGACCGCGCCAAGCCTGCTCATATTGAAGTTTCCATTCAAGCAGCCTCTCACGTACGATTTCAGTGCTAACCATTGGACTGTGACCTTTCACTATTCAGCCCGTAACTGCTGTCCTTCTTTAAAAGCTCCGCAATCTAGGGGGGGAGCCTTTGTAGCGGAAGCTGCTAAGCACCACCGCATTCTTTTCTATCCCGTCTGCAGCCGGCCGTCGACAGCGCGCCTACTCGCGGCGCCAGCTCCTCCTCCTCCGTGTTCGGGGAACAACGTGTTGTCGGGGCCGGCTCCGGGGATTAGACCGGCTGCATGCTACGTCTGCTCGCTCGGTGGCCCCCTTTTCCTCTTTCTTGTAGAAGAACGCGGGGGTGCCTCATTCTCTCCCTCGTCGAGGGGAGCTCTCGTCACTCGCACGGAGTGGAAATAAACAGTCTTGCCCTGCAACTCCAAACCTGCTTCACGTCTCCTTTCTCGCTGCCTCCGGCAGCCGACATTTCCGGCCGCTACACTATTTACAAAGGTAATTGCTAATGAAATTGAGACAACATTGAAATTCAATCATCTAAAGAAACAAGCAGGATTTCAAACAGGCTACTCAACAATTGACCACATTCATACTATCAATCAGGTAATAGAGAAATGCTCAGAGTATAACCAACCACTAAACATAGCCTTCATAGATTACGAGAAGGCGTTTGATTCAGTAGAAATATCAGCCGTCATGCAGACACTGCGGAATCAGGGCGTAGATGAAGTATATATAAATATTCTGGAAGAAATCTACAGGGGATCAACTGCTACCATAGTGCTTCATAAAGAAAGCAACAGAATACCAATCAAGAAGGGTGTAAGGCAGGGGGACACAATCTCCCCAATGCTATTCACGACATGCTTACAGGAGGCTTTCAAAGGCCTAGAATGAGAAGTGTCAGGGATAAGAGCTAATGGAGAGTACCTTAGTAAACTGTGCTTCGCCGATGACATTGCATTGCTGAGTAACTCAGGGTACGAACTGCAATTCATGATTACTGAGTTAGAGAAGGAGAGCAGAAAGGTAGGTCTTAAAATTAATCTACAGAAAATGAGAGTAATGTACAATAACCTCAGCAGAGAACAGTGCTTCGAGATGGGTAGCAGTGAACTTGAAGTTGTGAAGGAGTATGTCTACTTCGGTCAGCTAGTAAGCACGGAGCCGAACCACGAGATTGAAATAACTAGAAGAATAAGAATAGGGTGGAGCATATTCGACAAGCATTCTCAAACCATGACTGGTAGATTGCCACTATCCCTCAAGAGGAATTTTGGGAAGTTAAACCCCACATATCAATTAATCAATCCCTCAAGAGGAAGGTATATAACTGGTGCATCTTACGAGTGCTCACCTACGGAGCAAAAACCTGGAGGATTACAAAGAGCGTTCAACTTGAATTGAGGACGATGCAGCGAGCAATGGAAAGGGTAATGATAGGTGTAACCTTAAGTGACAAGAAGAGAGCATAGTGGGTTACGAAACAAACCGGGGTTAAGGATATCATAGTCGAAATCAAAAAGAAGAAATGGTCATGGGCTGGGCACATAGTGCAAAGGCAAGATAACCGCTTGTCATTAAGGATCACAGACTGGATTCCAAGAGAAGGCAAGCAGGTGAGGGGGAGACAGAAACATAGGTGGACAGATGAGATTAGGAAGTTTTGCGGGTTTAAAGTGGCAGCAGCAAGCACAGGATCAAGTTGACTGGTGGAACATGGAAGAGGCCTTTGTGCAACAGCGGGCACAGTCAGACTGATGATGATGATGAAGATATGCGGTTTGTCTTATATGCAGGGTACCACATTCATTTTCTGGTCAATTCCTCCTTTGATGTAGGTACAGAGGTGTGCCTTACACCCCACCGTTCATTACATCGGTGTCTCTTACAAAATGGTTGAACTGCAATTCTTTCAGAGCTTACAAAATTCAACTAGAAACTTGCATTATCCATTATGCGGAACACCAACTGCCCTAGAAAATCTTCTACGTTTAGGAGAAAATGATAGGGCTAGGCATTTCACTGCATGGATTGGCAAATGATAATGCTGCAGTTTTTTTCTAGTTCACACGACGAACGTCTAACACTGCAACACTGCAGATGCGCACAGAAAGTCTACTGCGGCTGGCGTATTGTTAACAAGTAACTTAATCACCAGTGTGTTAATCAAACAATCTCTACACATTAAAATATATAGTGCACCAGAAATGCCTATTCGCGGGCAAAGGACACTCACCGATGGGATACTCCATGGCGGATGCAACAACGCCGAAAGTGCTGCGGAGTGCCTCACCCAGCTTTCGTGCCGTCAGTTCGGACTCGCCTCCTTCCTCCGGAGATGCAGTGGGCGTCGAGTTTTCCACTGCGAAAGGTAGCACGAGAAACGCTAAGCACACTGTCAGCTGCACTGAACTAGTGAAAAAATCGTCGTGCAGATCCAAGAGTGGTGCTTTGAGTACATGAAAATAACCTAGACTTCGCATATCATTTTTCGGCTTGTCTCTTTACTTGCTAACCATTACAACTGACCATCAATAAATGCACCATAGTTTACGACATTTTTCACTCCAAGGCGTCATCGCCTCTGTTGGGGGAAAAAAAAGTCAAGAGAATAGATAGATCCTTGGCCCAATTCTGGCAAGCATTCATAATTAAAAAATGCTAATGCTCAAATATCAATCTACCAAACTACAGCGATTCGAGTAGTGTTTGGTCGTACGTAAAAGGAATTGAAGCTTCCAGTGAAACCACCTGCACATGATTATGAATGGCACCGAGCATTAGGGGGCCCTGCGAAAGTGATCGTAAAATGAACTTGCAAGTATTGCAGTTTATTGCCTGACAAATCGGCTGTTGCAAGAATGAGCCGGGTTACAGGAATTTGCTACAAGTTCCAAGCATCTTCTCTTTTTTTGTTGCCCCAGCGAGCTCACTGACAGCTACACAGGGGAGAGGGCTGATGAAAGGGAGAACTTTCCTTTCATAGTTTCTTTTAACGTGTGTGCGGCCAAGGTACAAATGTTCCGTGGGGCTAACTTGACCTCACCGAGACTTGCCATAGTGGAGACATGTAGTGGCACACCATGGAAGCAACGGCAACTCACTTAGCAGCACCAAATGTTCGAATCAGCCAATAGCAAAGTCTTTTGTGAATGTGACGCAGTTGATTTGGGTATAGGGCTTTATTTATCAAGAAAAAAGCACGTGATGCAATGGTGTTAACTTAGCGATAAAGTCGCTATATCTAGTGTCTTTTCGGTCATGCTAATGACAATTCCATCTCTTTGGAGTCTTAGCGACATTTTTTGGGAACTTTCAAGGTTTGAAGTTGAGTGCTCTCAGACAGACATATAAAATTGGGAAACTGCGAGAACAGTCGGAGCGAGCTTCAATAAATGAAGCCAAAGCATACAGGATCAAGGTACTTGTGGCCTGGGACCTTTAGCATGCAATGTGGTGCAGTCTAAGCTCATTTGCTACAAGACAAACTGATTTATATTTGTTTAACAAAAAAAAAAAATCCCTTCACGTGCTTCATCTAATCAAAACCTAAAGACTCAGGAACAAAATTATCATCATCATCCTTGTTTGGAGACTTTTGGCTAAAATTAACGACTTTTCTGAAGCATCCTGGTGACTTTCCCTCCAATAAAGCTACACCACTGACGTGATTACTACACTCGGGGACAACTTTTCTCGACAGAACTGCGGAAGCCACAAAACTGGAGTGCATGCCTGCTATGCAAATAAGAAAAGTAAGAGTTTACTCATAATTTTCCGATTTGCATCACTGATATAAACACTGCTTCATTTATTATTGATTGATTTGTGGGGTTTAACGTCCCAAAACCACTATATGATTATGAGAGACGCCGTAGTGGAGGGCTCCGGAAATTTTGACCACCTGGGGTTCTTTAACGTGCGCCCAAATCTGAGCACACGGGCCTACAACATTTCCGCCTCCATCGGAAATGCAGCCGCCGCAGCCGGGAATCGAACCCGCGACTTGCGGGTCAGCAGCCGAGTACCTTAGCCACTAGACCACCGCGGCGGGGCTGCTTCATTTATTATAACACCCAGACAGTTGCAGATGGTCACAGATAGAATAGTTATTGTTCACTTTGCAGGGATGCCTTCCTTTTCTTTCCATTTCTTAGAAAGCTATATCCTTTCGGCACATCCCTTTTACAAAGCAAATATGGTGTCCACTACGTATTGGGCCAGTTACCCCCGAAATGTTTCTCCCATTTCCATTTTCACCTACACATGGGTATATGGCATAAAAGATACTAGTGTGCCTGCAGTGAAATACGGGGGATAGGAAAACGCATACGAGGTTCCCTGCTTATAAGAGACATCTCATATTAAAAACAATGATTGCTGCTCGGAGCATGCCTCTTATAAAGGGGTTTACACTCAAACCTTGATATAACAAACTGTAATATAACAAAATATTTGTTATAACAAAGTAAATAAAAAATTGGCTTGCAATAAATATAGTGTTAAGAACAAGCCTTTATAACAAACTTTTGGATATAACGAACTCATTTTCGTGTAAGATGCAACTTTGTTATAATGAGGTTCGAGTGTAACTGTACAATTTTCTAAACGCACTAGCTTTTAAGCTTTAAAAATGACGAATCAATGTGAGAGTGACATGTTTATGATGATGACGATGTGAGGCTGCCAGCTTTGCATCGGGCAGGCAACATTAACTTGTTCTAGCCAGAGAACAAGAAAAAACGACAACTAAAAACCAAATAATTAACTTTGAAGTGGGGCTTGACAGCAGTGCATATTTCCTTGCGCAGGTGTACCCATGGTATAGCACCCTTTCACTGCAAAAAAAAAAAAAAAAACACCTTTACAGAGAGGCTACATGTGGACTAATGCCCGCTTATTCCGTTCGTTTCGTACTTCAAAATTTCCAATACATTAAATTAAAATTAAAGCAAATATGAGCATTATAATATTTGTTTAATAATCAAAGCATTCGAACATGTACACAAGCCAGGTGATGACCTATGTGCATCAGTACTCTGGAGACGCAAGGTAGAATGCTCAGGGGCTTTGCTTAAATTATAGAGAGAATGATTCAATAACACTTAATCTTGGCCACTTATATGAGTGCACGAGGGCCATTCCCGAGACCCTTTGACACTCTGGAAGTCATCTGTTTACCGAGTAAAACGTAAACTAGAGGAGGAAAATGCAGATTGCTCACACACACAATCCACATGCATGTGGCTACCCACCAACACACTGCACTGCATTTTATATAGACACATCTCATTGCAAGCAAGTGCAGTTAGTTTCGTCCCAACCCACCTGGTTCGAAACAGTCATCGCAGACTCTCACAGGCTCTGTGCCCCAGCCACGCTCGGGCACTGGCCGCGTCTTGGATGAGCAGTCTTGACAGAAGCCGTTGCCGCAGGCACGACAGTGGTGCTTCTTCTCCTCAGGAGGAAAGCTTTTTTTGCACTTGTGGCAGGCCTGCAGTTCGTTTGACGGGCCATCTAGCGGTCAGTTTGTTCTTCGCACATGTGCACGCATCCAGATAAACCCACACAAAACATGCCTCATATGACCGTTAATGTAAGTGAACAGTTCAACACTTCTACAAAACTTCATTAAATTAATGAGGCAACTGAAAGGACATTTAGTTTAAACAAAGATAATTAGGCAGCAATTCTTTTTCTTTAGTGCAATTCCACAAATCAAAGCTACTGGCCATACAGAAAAATGCCAGTCTGTGCGGCACACGCAGCATTGTCACAGCAAAAGCTGCTACTGTTAAATCCAACCACTGAACACTGTGGCCAAAAAAAGCAAACGATGCTATTCAATGGAGGACTTCAGTGCCTTATTTTTTTTAATCAGTCAGACTCAATGGTCTTAAACTAGCAATGAATTCTCCAAGCACAAGAATTTAAGTTACGAGATACTAAAAACAATATAAATAAAGATGCAGTAAAAGCTCGTTTAGTCGGATATCACGGGACCAGAGAAAATGTCAGAGTTAACCGAATTCTGAATTATCGAATGGACCATGAAAACAAAAGGAAAATGTACACAGCACAAACAAACCTTTATTTCTTGAAAAAGTGCGTTATTTTCGTCTGCTTCAGCTGTCAAGATTTTTGACAGAACCATCTTATTTAATCCCATCAGGTGGTGTTGAGCACGTTCACAGTTTCGAGAACAAACGAAGAACTCCTCAAGGACAGTGAGGGCTTTGGCGGCCTCCTGCACGGTGCGACAATGTCGCGATGGCGGCTCATCTTGACTGTCATCATCGGAACAGTTATTTTGGTCCTCAAGCACTTCCGACAATATATCATTGTCAGTGAGCCGACCAGCAACGGCAACGTGATAGTCCATAGCGACGCTGTCTAAAATCTGGGGACCACTCTGGAAGTAGACAGTCAAAATGCGTGTCATTCACCTCGTCGTCCATATTTCCAGTGGGCTTGTGGGTGCCCTCTGGTAGAATATCAGAGTCGTGAGGGTGGACAAAGCCGCTGTGCCGGAAATAACTGGCAACGACCGCGGGTGGCGTTTCGCTCCAGACATGCGCTAAAATGTGAATTGCAGTCAGTAGAGTCATGTCTTATTCTCGCCCTGCTTCCTTGTACAGCAGGATCCGTTTTAGCGCGTGCTTTTTATGTGCTGAATTATCCCTTGATCCAGCCGTCAGGTGTGCAGGTAGAAATACAAGTTCGATGCACTCTAGCCCTGTCACTCTGGTATGAGGGCAGCAGCTGTCAACTAGAAGTAAGACCTTGCACTTGTTAGCAGAGAAGCGATGGTCGAGCTGGTCCAGCCAAGCTAGGAAAATATCCGAGGTCATCCAGGCCTTTCTACTGATGCGGTATTGCACCGGAAAGTGATGAACGTTCTTAAAACAGCTTAGGTTACGTGCCTTCCCGATGACTAGCAGTGGCAGGTGCTCGGTGCCAGAGAGATTTAAAGCGAAAAGCACAGTGACCCTTTTTTGCTTCTCTTTCATCCAACGCACAGGTCGCCCTTGAACGAGATCGTTTTTTTCGACAAGGCTTTAAAAAAGAGCCATTTAATTCCTCATTGAAGTTGTTGGCAGGATCATAACGAGCCAGGTACTGCGGAAGCTCAGTTGTCTTCAAGTTAGCAATACGCCGTTCATCCACTGCTGCTTTTTCCCCGTACACATTTCAAAAGACCAGCCCGTGCCTTTCTCTAAAGCGGGCAAACCAGCCTTCAGACACACTGAAAGATTCGATGTTCATTCTCGATGAAAGTTCGATGTTCTTTCAGCTTGACGACAGATCAACAGTGCACTCAAGAGAAGCTGGCTGTTCCGCGTGTCTGTTATCCACCGCATCAGTGCATCTTCCAGCTTTGAGTGTGCTGCCGTCCTCAGTCGTTTTTGTTTTCCGGTGAATTAGCCGCTGTGAACCGCACTCAAAAATTTTTGCTTGGTTCTTCACATAGTCACTTAAGGTGCTTCCCTTAACATCATACTTTTTCATAATCTCTTGTCGAGAAACACCTGCGCTCACGTCTTTCAATATCATCACCTTTCTTTCAAGATCATTTGCTGGCTCCTGTGGCTGCTTAACTCCTGTGACGGTCACCATCAATATGAAGCGCGACAGTGGTGGCAACGCGCACACACACACAGCCGCAACATGCGAAGTCCCAACACAAAGAACCACGTCAACAAAGCCACGAAGTACACCAGTTGGCATAGTGAACAGCTGTTAGTAGAGACTGGATGTGCCGGCGGCCCAAGCGCTTCCGCCGGGTGGTGACTAGTGCCACTTAGCCACTTCCTCCTCATTCACTATCATCATGATCATATTCTGCTGCAGTTCACTCGATTTCTTCCAAAACTCCAGATACGCCATTGATTACAGCAAGTGGTGCTAGAGCCTCCAAGCGGCCGAGATCTCGCGACTCCCGTTTTTGTCTGAGATAACCGGTGCATGGCTGAATCCCTCCGAATCAATGAGCACTAAACCCCATCGAAATATACAAAGTTTTGCTGGGACCACGCCGCGAGCCCGAGTTAACTGAATTTCCGACTTAACGGAGGTCCGGATTAAACGAGCTTTTACTGTAAGTGTATGAACAAAGGAACAAGAGATGAGACCCCATGTTTTCTTGGTCCCTAATGTCCATGTCATACCTCCTTTCATGGTGGATACTTACCAACCAGTGCAGATTTCTGCCATTGAAAACAACTTGAACTTCCTGATCTCACTTCGTCTTGTACAGTGATAGCTAGTTAACTTGAACTTCAATAATTCGAATTTATGGATAATTCGAACTGTAAGTTATAGCCCGGCTAAGCTCCATACAAGCCTATGAATAAAAAAGCACGTTAATTCGAACGCGAGTAGGTTCCACCGCGGATAATTCGAACTACGCGCCACCGCGCTGGCGGCTTGGCTAGTCACTAGATAGGGTGGCTGCCAAGTTACGAGGCGGCGTGGACAGGGAGCGGAGAGAAAAACGGAGGAACTGGCACGGAGGCCAGAGTGCAGAAAATAGCGCCACTTACTCTTCTCCCCCCCCATCCACAATCTTTCTCGGCGGCTGCCTGCTCTCTGTCCTATGTAACCTCCAAGGTTTTTTTTTTAAAGCGCCAATCTCGGAAGCCGCCTTGCAAGATTGCAAAATCCTGCATATTTGTCGCTGTTAGACGACAGATGGCATGACCAGCACACAGCTAATCGGGTGCGTCGTAGCTTCACCCGGCCTTCTCTGCAGTCTCTGTCTCGGGCGTGCGTCGTACACCTCGGTTGTTGGTGCTGGGAGTAGCTTCCGGCTGTCGCGATTCTTTGTGTTGGTGTTAGGCCTCGGCTAACGTTTGTTGCGGTAGCGCTGGTAGTAGCTTCCCGTCTGTCGCCATTCTGCTGCTTCGACTTGATGGCGTGTTGCCCACGGCAAATACCATGCCAAAACACTTCACGAGAAAGCTGATATCTTGCGGGAAGTGGACGCCGGACTCTTGCCCTAGCAATATATCGCGAAAAAGCATGGGATACTGAAAACGACGCTATCTACTTATATAAAAAATAGGAGGACTATTGAAGACACCTTAGAGGCAGAAGTTGCGAGCAAAAGGAGAAGGTTGCGGCCCACAAAGTATCCTGACCTCGAGAAAGCGCTTCTCATTTGGATAAAGAAAACGCTTTCGCAGGACATACCACTGAGTGGCCCAGTCATACTGGCAAAGGCAGTGGACTTCGCCCTGCAGCTAGACTACGATGACTTCGCTGCTTCAGGTGGGTGGCTGCACCGTTTTCGCGAGCGCTACGACCTCGTTTTCCGTGCTGTGTCGGGTGAAATGAACGCCGTCAACACGGAAACGTGTGAAGGTTGGCGCTCGGAAGTGCTTCAAGGCTACATGGAGAAGTATTTTCCACGGGACACATTTAATGCGGATGAAACTGCCTTATTTTTCAAATCGCTGCTCGCCAAAACCATCACGTATAAAGGCGACAAGTGCACAGGAGGGAACAAAAGTAAAGAACGGATAACTGTGATGGTTGCTGCGAACATGACCGAACCGAGAAGTTGCCTCTGTTTGTGATAGGCAAATCGAGAAGTCCTCGTTTCTTCAAGAACATCCGGTCCCTCCCATCAGACTACGCGGCCAAGAAAAAGGCCTGGATGACAGGGGAATTGTCCTGCGTCCTGCTTTTTGTGGACGACTGTTCGGCTCATAAAGTCAATGTTGAGACGAAGGCCATTGCGCTGGCCTTCCTTCCAGCAAACGTGACAGCGGTACTGCAAGCCATAAGCCAGGGTATAATTAGAAATTTAAAATAATTTTATCGGCGTCATATGTTGGTACGAATTATTTTGTGCAATAACTACCAAATGACGCTCATAAGTGCACTACACATGCTTGCGCGTGCTTGGGAGCAAGTGACTGCGCTTACGATAGCAAATTGCTTTCGCCACTGTGGCTTCAGCATCGAAGCTCTGCAAGCTGACGAGCCACCAGTGCTCGAACTTTGGCGTCACCGCCCTCATGGCGGACGTTTTGGAAGACGTCTGCTTTGCGGACTACGTTGATGTGGACTCAAGTGCAGTGGTGTGTGGTGCACTCACGGATGGCGACATAATATGTCAAGTGAGAAGTGCAGAACCTGTCCCTGCCAGTGACAATGATGAGGAGGAGGACGAAGCAGCAGTGTGACTATCTGCTGTGGAAGTCGTGGCCGGATTGAATTCTGCCCGTCTTTTTTTTAAGTTTTGAAGAAGGCAAAGAAGAGGCCTTCCGCCAAATTCGCTCGTTAGAGCAAAAAGTGCTGGCTGTCACCTTCAAGGAAAGAAGGCAGACCGCGATCACAGATTTTTTCAAAAAATAAATTAAGCCCTACTCGCAGTGTACTATTGTTGTTCTTCACTTTCGTTAGTTTGAACTTTTGTTGTTTCGAACTGAGGCGGCTTCCCCTTGCGGTTCGAATTAACGAGCTTTTACTGCAAGTCTGTATGTATGCCTGCCTTCACTACCGATACATATACGCCTTTTCAAGAAACACATACATCCACTAATCACTTTGTCCAGCTGAGATTCTTCAACCTGTTCATCAACGTAACTGGTTTGCAAGTTTTGCATTCCATCCCCCGTCAAAACATGGCCATCGGGGTAGGGAAACGAACCACGCTCTCGACCTTACAAATGTAGCACGTTCACCGTCACGTCCCCGAAATGTCGCATTTCAAGCACCAGTTCGTACCAAAGTCAGGAGTCTTACCTGAATCTTATAGTTGGGCACCCAGTATGAAGGTGCGATCTGGTCGTTTATCCAGTCAGACATGGTGCGCGTCGGTCGAGCGCTGTATGTCGTGACTGCCTCCGAGATGGTCTGAAGGCCGTCAAGGACCCTCTGTGCGGTAATGCCTGGCTCCTCTGTTGCTGGCTTCTCCTGGAATAAAGGAGTTTGTTTTTCACGATATTTTCGCGGTACAACTGATGAACCACCTACTGAACTCCACTGACAGGAAGATATGCTACCTCTGTTAACAAGGCTGAACAAATATTGTCACGAGGTTGTGATACACGCAGCACTTGAGAGGAAGCACGCAGGAGTCAGGGCGGTGTCAGGCGAACTGTTTATTGGGCGAACTTGTGCCCAGCAAAACGGGGCCAAACACAACTCATAGCAACAGCGGCGTGAACAGTCGTCGGCCGACGGAAATGAAGAAAAGACCCCCAGTGGCGCACTGCGCCGGCTTTTTATACACGCGTCGTAACGCGTTCCAAAGTGGCATACAAGATAAACGCGGCCTGCGTTGCGCTTAACAGAAAGTGATAGCGTCTTCCTTCGTAAACCAAAAGAACCGCACGTGTCACTACCCCCTCTGAAAAAGCATCGTCCCGATGCTAAAGACAGAACATAAGAGAGAGTACATGCAATAAATTACATTAACAATGCGTCACAGCTAATCAGCGCGCGTAATAAGGTTTAAGTCGCACCACGTGTACGACTTCGGGTCGTGCACGGCGTCGTTGGGATGACGTTAAGCCATCGGGCACGACCTCATAGTCCAGTTCACCACGACGTCGGACTACCTTGTAGGGTCCAAAGTAGCGTCGCAGGAGCTTCTCAGACAATCCCCGTCGTCGTATCGGCGTCCAGACCCAGACAAGGTCACCTGGTTGGTATTCGGTGTGGTGTCGTCGAAGGTTGTAGTGGCGCCTGTCGACCGTCTGTTGGCTCTTGATACGCAGGCGGGCTAGCTGTCGAGCTTCTTCAGCGCGATCCAGGTAGCTGGCGACGTCGAGGTCTTCTTCGTCGGTGCCGACCGGTAGCATGGCGTCAAGCGTCGTTGTTGGGCGCCGTCCGTAGACGAGCTTGTATGGAGCAAACTGCGTCGTTTCCTGCACGGCCGTGTTGTACGCGAAGGTTACATACGGGAGTATGGCGTCCCACGTCTTGTGCTCGACGTCCATGTACATGGCCAGCATGTCGGCGATGGTCTTATTTAGACGCTCGGTGAGGCCATTCGTCTGTGGGTGGTACGCGGTGGTTCGGCGGTGGCTTGTCTGACTGTACCTCAAGATCGCTTGCGTTAGGTCAGCCGTAAAGGCCGTACCTCTGTCGGTGATGAGGACCTCGGGGGCTCCGTGGCGGAGGGCGATGTTCTCAATGAAGAACATGGCGACCTCGGCGGCAGTGCCCTTGGGCAAGGCCCTTGTTTCGGCATAGCGGGTGAGGTAGTCAGTCGCTACGACAATCCATTTGTTGCCAGAAGTTGACGTCGGGAACGGCCCCAGTAAGTCCATGCCGATTTGTTGGAATGGCCGTTGAGGTGGTTCGACGGGTTGCAGAAGTCCGGCTGGCCTAGTTGTCGGCGTCTTGCGTCGCTGACAGTCTCTGCATGTTTTTACGTAGTGGGCGACGTCGGCAGAGAGGCGAGGCCAATAGTACTTCTCTTGTATTCGTGACAGTGTGCGGGAAACACCAAGATGTCCGGCTGTCGGGTCGTCGTGTAATGCTTCCAGAACCTCTGGACTTAACGCTGAAGGTACCACGAGGAGGTGGTCGGCGCGGAGCGGCGAGAAGTTTTTCTTCAGGAGGACGTTGTTTCGCAGGAAAAACGAAGCCAGTCCTCGGCGGAATACTTTCGGCACGTCGGCGGTCTTGCCTTGCAGGTAGTCCATGAGGATCTTGAGCTCCGGGTCAGCTCGTTGGCGTTCCGCGTAGTCGTCGGTACTTATGGGTCCCAGGAAAGAGTCGTCGTCCTGGTCATCCTGGGGCAGCGGATCGACAGGGGCGCGAGACAAGCAGTCGGCGTCGGAGTGCTTTCGTCCGCTCTTGTAGACGACGGTGATGTCAAATTCTTGTAGTCTGAGACTCCACCGTGCGAGGCGCCCTGATGGATCCTTCAAGTTAGCTAGCCAACACAAGGCGTGGTGGTCACTCACGACTTTGAAAGGCCTGCCGTACAGGTAGGGGCGGAACTTTGATGTAGCCCAGATGATGGCAAGGCATTCCTTTTCTGTCGTGGAATAATTGGCTTCTGCCTTCGAAAGTGACCGGCTAGCGTAACTGATGACCCTTTCAAGTCCGTCGGTCCTCTGCACGATCACGGCGCCGAGCCCTGTGCTGCTTGCGTCCGTGTGAATTTCGGTGTCAGCTTCTTCGTCGAAGTGCGCCAGTATTGGCGGCGTTTGCAGGCGTCGCTTTAATTCTTGAAATGCCTCGACTTGCGGCGTTTCCCATTTGAAGTCGACGTCGGCCTTCGTGAGGTACGTCAGTGGCTCGGCGATCCGCGAAAAGTTCTTCACGAAGCGCCTGTAATAAGCGCAGAGGCCAAGAAATCGGCGTACTGCTTTCTTGTCGGTGGGTGCAGGAAAGTCGGCGATCGCAGCTGTTTTCTGTGGATCAGGGAGCACTCCCGACTTGCTGATAACGTGGCCAAGGAACAATAGTTCCTCGTAGGCGAAGCGGCACTTTTCTGGCTTCAGGGTAAGTCCCGAGGCTTTGATTACCCGAAGAACAGCTTCAAGGCGCCGGAGGTGCTCGTCGAAGTTGGAAGAAAATACGACTACGTCGTCCAAGTAGACGAGGCAAGTCTGCCACTTCAAGCCTGCGAGTACTGTGTCCATAACCCGTTGGAACGTCGCAGGCGCCGAGCAAAGACCAAAGGGCATGACCTTAAACTCGAATAGGCCGTCTGGTGTTATGAAGGCAGTCTTCTCTCGGTCTCTCTCGTCTACTTCGATTTGCCAGTAGCGGGTTTTGAGATCCATCGACGAAAAATACTTGGCGTTGTAGAGTCTGTCCAGAGCATCGTCTATCCGTGGGAGGGGATACACGTCTTTCTTCGTGATGTTGTGGGCTTGGCTCACGGCTGGACGGGGGCGTACGGTACATGGACAGAGAAGCACCTCCACCAGATGTCACGAGGTTGTGATACACGCAGCACTTGAGAGGAAGCACGCAGGAGTCAGGGCGGTGTCAGGCGAACTGTTTATTGGGCGAACTTGTGCCCAGCAAAACGGGGCCAAACACAACTCATAGCAACAGCGGCGTGAACAGTCGTCGGCCGACGGAAATGAAGAAAAGACCCCCAGTGGCGCACTGCGCCGGCTTTTTATACACGCGTCGTAACGCGTTCCAGAGTGGCATACAAGATAAACGCGGCCTGCGTTGCGCTTAACAGAAAGTGATAGCGTCTTCCTTCGTAAACCAAAAGAACCGCACGTGTCAATATCTTTTTTTATGCTTTTTTATTAACGTGCTTGCGTGGTGTGATCCATTTTCACAACTCATTTTGACCCACTTGCTGGCGTGCTCTCTTTAAAGCATAAGAGAAATAAGCATAAGAGAATACCCTGATGCAAACATGAAGAAAAGAAATAACACTGAGGCTAACTTCCCAAAAAAGGAACTGTTGTGTATGCGAAGCATTGCTTGCTTATCTGTGCCGACAACACTAGCTGGTGCATATGGTAAGTCAAAGGGTAGCAGACATCAGCAAGCACAAGCACACACTAGCCAATATCTCCCAATGAGCCTTTCATTTTAAAAGTTGGCAACAGCTTTAGGCACTGAGACTCGAGGGGACCTCAGTCTTCTAATAAACTCAGAAAAAAAAATGTCTTTAACAGCGGAATTGTTTTATCAAGTCTTAGTGTCTTGAGGCCATCGCCGATCGTAAACAAGTACTTGCCGCAGAAAGTGGATAAAATGCCACTATAGATATGTGCCACTCCTCACAACACTCGCGCTAATCTCATAACTCAGCCACTACATTTGCTACTGCTCCATTCCTCTTCATTCCCACATGATTCAACCGCACTCCATTCAAATCCCACGGCATTCATACCGCACTGCATTTACATCCCACAGTATTAATATCCCACTGCATTCAGCTAGCTCGAAAAATGGCGAAGCAAAAGTTTCTTTGCAGCTCACCAGAATTATTGTTTCACCAGTGTCCGCCAAGCGGAGCTGGCATACTTTTTCTTGCAACAAATTGCCCCTAAAACACTAGTTTTTAGATCCCATTAAATGTTTTGCATTATAGGAACCTCGATGCAGTGACGTTAACAACTAAGAAAAGAGACTGAAGAGAACGAACGAAAAACACAGGTGTGCATGGCTGAGCTGACCAGTGCAATAAAATGCTTACAGCAGGCCAGACGTGCACAATTTCAACCCTGGTGACGGTCTCCTCGGGTTCCCTGTTGCCAAACCAGTACTTTCGACTCTGGTAGATCACACCGCAGCTGGGGCACTCAAACACATACCTGCACACGGAAATGTAGACCACAACGGATAATTATGTGCTAGTGCCCTATTTGCATCGCGTCGTGCCATTTATCGCAAATGCACTGAAGCAACATCGCTGGGCTGCCATACCAGCAGATGTTACCCAGAACACATGCGAAACTTATAAAACACAGTCTCTCGGAGAGCCTGTTTTGCAATTTTTTTAGCCTGAATATTCTCAGCTGTTTTTAATGGAACATCAAAACAGCAGGTTCATGCAAATCCACAATGTATACAGTATGTGCAGGCTTTGGAAGAAACCTCGTTAGTATCTACGCTGTTGGATTTGTAAAAACATTCTCGCTGTAGTACGCACGAGTCGTAATTGTAGTGCAGCTCGCTAAAGAGTGAAACGATGTTTTGATTTGATGGTTATGTGGGGTTTAACGTCCCAAAACCACCATATGATAATGAGAGACGCCGTAGTGGAGGGCTCCAGGAAATTTCGACCGCCTGGGGTTCTTTAACAGTGCACACAAATCTGAGCACACTGGCCTACAGCATGAAACGATGTTTTGTTGCTGCATATTTCGAGTTATGCAAAACATTTTGTGAAAACTCATTCCAACACTCGTGTAATGATTAGTGCATGCATTGCAGGTACCTTTGAGGGTAACTTCTTCCTCCATGTCTTCTGCGTTTGGTTTTTGCCATTGCTTTGGCCATTTAGTGTAATGGTGGCGACTAACGCCAAATAGCAATTCACATGAAATCTCAATGTATGACAATGTCTTTAACGAGAATATTATCAACAGCGGTGCCCTACTTACCGAGAAATTAAGGTAAATGCATGAGAACACATGCACTATGAGTAGGACATTCGCAAAATGATCCCGATGACGTCAGAGCTACCGCCTACAATTAATTGCCAGTAATCGAACTAGCTGCACTAAATAAAATACCTTCCGTGTATAAAACGACTTAATACAGATCTCGGATATATCAAACTCAAGTATATCGAATTATTCAGAAATCTCCTTGAATTTTTCATGCCAAAGTATGGGACCAGTGCATTCGTATATCAAACTCCCGCACAGCGAGACATTCGCTATATCCAACGCTGTGCTGCACCGAAGCCCACAAAGGGCATTTTTCCTAGCAAATATTGATACATTTTGGTCGCATTCTAACAAGTTCCGATTCATTTGTGTGCGCAGGTGCTGAAAAGGCGTACACAAACCACTTGCCGGCTCCCAAAAAGTGACAGCAGGCGATCGCAAAGCCCACTAACTTAAGGGTACGCTATTTGAAATCTCCTTATTCTTTAACATCTCCTTGCAGCTTGAGTGTCTTAATTAAATCCTGCCATGTGTTGAACCTGTGGTTTTACTGTAAAGGTAAGTCTTAATAACTAGTACTTTACACAAAGCTTGAATTTAGTTGCTAGCATGACAACCGCGATTTGTGGCCACATCGTTTTCTTTTTCGCTCTGTACGTTTTCACGGAAAATTTTCCCAGAGAAACCCTCACCCCCCCCAAGTTCTCGTCAGTTTTCCATGCAAAAAAAGTGCGAGGATTATGCGAGTAAATAAGGTAATCTGGAATCTGGGTAGTAAGCAGAGAAAGAAGCATGGACATTGCATAATTCACCTGAACAAATGTTACAGCACATTTATTATCTGTGAGTGAACTGATGTCCAGCTGGGATTTCACCAGCGGAATAAAAATATCAACGAGATTCTACTGAACTGCTAAAAACGACAAAGGCATGCTGCTTACCCCGACCAAGCAAACTTCGCCAACGCCGTCAATGTAGAATCGTTCTTGGCGCCGGTCTGTGGCGTGAGGACCACTTCGCGACCAAATTTTTCGTAGCAGTTCTGCATTTAAAGAGCGCAGGGGAAAAAAAGAAAGATGGGAGAGGGCCAGGTCAACTCGTGTTCCAATGCAAGCTCACTGACCAACTGCTATGCGGTAAAAAAACACAAAGAATTCTTCATAAATAGCACGCTAGAACGGGACAACAGAAACGAGGACGAACACGGGTGCAATTTAGGTTTTATTTATTTATTTAATTTTTTGGTACTGCAATCTCCTGGAGGGATTTTAGCAGGTGGGTACAAAAGACATAAATATCAGCATATAACACCAGGCAAACAGATGGAACAGCCTATCACATTTCACATAGTAGGCAGCCATATGAAACAAAGCAAACAAATAACTATCACTTGTGTTTTACAACGTAAACAAACGTAACAAAACATTAACGATGGCACATCACTCTCATTTTAAGAAAAGACAACAAAGCTGGCACACAAGTAAAATTATTTTCACTGTTTTTCCAGACTAGCGGCAAAGGATGGTAAAGATTGTGTTGTGACTTGATGGTTCTTTAAATTTTTTAATCCTGCACAGTTCTGGGGAAAAAAAGAATATTTGAAGCAGTTATTGCGAATACGGAAGGGAGTTATTGTACAATCATGGCGTTGTCTAGTGGCGTAACCTGAAGAAAATGAAATGATTTTTCCAATATGTATCTTGTAATGTCCATTAATTATTTGATATAAATATTTTATTCGGGATATGCGGTTTCTTTCTGAAAGTAAAGGTAAGTGAGCTTTGACTAACAGTTCATTTACCGAGATTCGTCCATAACTTATATATATGAAGCGAATAGCTCTATTTTGTATTTTTTCGACTTTATGAATGTTGATTTGAGTAAATGGATCCCAGATCACCGCAGCATAATCAAGTATGGGGAGGACTATCGATTTGTAAGCAAGAACACGGACAGATGGAGGGGAGAGTTTCAAAGTCCTCTGTAAAAAGAAGGTTGCATTATTTATGATGATATTAATATCAAAGGGCCAACAGCTCTCAAACCATGGAGCTTATGCCTTCATAGGGGCGCACTTGCCTTGCACTGTTGGACCCGGTTGTCCAGATGGTTTTGGTAACGGCACCTCATTGCATTTAAGTGGTCATCTTGGTGGTTCATTGTCTTGTTGCACCGAGCGCTATAATTACAATGCACAGTTATTGAACTAACTATTCCTGCAATTTAAACTACAGATCCATGATTCTTTTACGAATCTGACTGAACGAGTGACACGACACAGTTAAGCCAAAACTGTGTGTGCGGAACAGCACTGGACTCGCAAAAATAACACACAAAGTGCCTACTCGCTATTGTGAAAACAAAATGCACCTCCTATGAATATGCAAAATAAACACTTCTAAAGGTGCCGCATCACAGGACATAGCACAGAAAGGCCACCCGCAGCACAATTAAGAGAGACTACGAAAACAGCTTAGGTGGATAATTCGGTTCCTTGGGTAATAATTGACGGGATGCCCACACAGTTGCCACCCAACTGAGCAATCTGATCCACTTCAACAATTTCTTGTGCTAGGTGGTCGTGAGGGTTAGATGACTGTGCTACACTAAAAAAAAAAAAAAAAAAAAAAAAAAAAAAAAAAAAAAAAAAAAAACCAGGTGAATACGTGCATGACCAACAGGGGACGACAAACCAACAATCTTGTGCACGTTTTACGATGTTGTCATGCTCTCTGATCCTATTGTTAGCACAACGAACAGTCTGGCCTGCGCAAAATTTGCCGCAAGAGAGGGGAATCTGACACACAACATTTTGTGTAGCAACCTCACAACCTCAAATTTACATAAAACCTTGGATGAAAATACTTGAAAATGCTACGAACGCCAACATTTCTTACGATGCTCAATGTGCAGTTGTGAATGTTGCACCTGTGCACACATGCATCAAAAGCCACTTCTTCATTTAATGTGTACACACTGACTACAAATATGAAGAAATGGTCAGTAAAAGCCAAAGTCAAAGCGAGATTTTAAGGTAAAAAATAAATAAAATGCGGAAACTTACTCGCAGGAGAGGCACGAAAGGGGGCAGGTGAAATACTGATCGGGAAATGTGCTTGGAACAGTGTTGTCAATGTCACCATTGAACTTCTCATTCAGATGCTGGAACATTAAAAGCGAATGCGTGAAACAGTCAGTGAAAGGTGCTTGATGCAACTGCCTGCGTAGAATTTCACGTTATCACACAGGCTAACAAGTCCCTAACGAATTTCTAGGACTCAGACTAAATTCAGACTTGGTGCATTTGTGAGGTCCAAAATATCCAACTTCGAGGTTCTCATAGCACTAATGCATTTTCATGATCGATTTTCCAAACTAGATCGTTTGTTCTGAGCTATGCCGCTCGATTTTGAAAGCCGCCATGTTGGATTTTTGTTGGCTTGCACTGGATAGTTCTATGACCTCCAAGATCGGAAGCGCGCATAACCTTATAGTTTTGGAGGCCTTAGCTAGCAAAAACGGCACAACTTTTTTTTTTAAGCCAGCCTTATGATCATTGATACACCAATAGGTTGTTTTTATTTTCTGGCCGTTTGTTTTCCTGGTTGTTATTGCACACGTGAGGACATGGTCGTGTTACTGTGCCAAGCGCGTTTGAGCTGTCGTGCGAGCAAACATGCGAGCAAACATGCGAGAAAATTTGATTCTATTTGAGTTACAGTAACATCGTTAGGAATCGTTGCCAGCCCCGCCACGGTGGTCTAGTGGCTAAGGTACTAGGCTGCTGACCCGCAGGTCGCGGGATCAAATCCCGGCTGTGGTGGCTGCATTTCCGATGGAGGCGGAAATGTTGTAGGCCCGTGTACTCAGATTTGGGTGCACGTTAAAGAACCCCAGGCGGTCGAAATTTCCGGAGTCCTCCACTACGGCGTCTCTCATAATCAAATGGTGGTTTTGGGACGTTAAACCCCACAAATCGATCATCAGGAATCGTTGCCACCAACTGTTGCGGGATGGGGGGGCAAAGTTGGTGGCTCCATGAAACCAAGCAAACAAATCTTGATGCAGATCGCACAAAGGTACATGCAACATCTAGCCTGTTTGGTGAGATTTAACAACATGGTCTGGGCTTCTTTTACCTGCACCGACTCTGCACAGCGCGTGAGCCTCCAGATTTCGCCACCATCAAAACGGTACCGCCGCGGCCAGGATCAAACCCGCGTGTTCTAGGAGTAGCCGAGCACCGTGACCTTAAAGTGCTACTGAGCAACCGCGAACAGCAGCGAGCATGTGACGCACACGATGGCTCAAACACATTCGGCACACAAATAACACGATCAAGTGCGCAATGACAACCAAAAAAACAAACACACAGAAAATAAAAACAACCTACCAGCTTATTAATAATGACGATAAGACTTAGTGAAAAAGAAAAGGTTTGCAGTTTTGCTAGCCAAGAAAGATGAGACATGACAGGTCGCGGGATCCAATCCTGGCTGCGGCGGCTGCATTTTCGTTGGAGGCGGAAATGTTGTAGGCCCGTGTGCTCAAATTTGGGTGCACGTTAAATACCCCAGGTGGTCGAAATTTCCGGAGCCCTCCACTACAGCATCTTTCATAATCATATGGTGGTTTTGGGACGTTAAACCCCACGAATCAAGATGAGACATGACCTCCGAAACTGGAAGATAGAAGAACTTCCAATCTTGGAGATCACACAACTAGCCACTGCAAGCCAAACTCAACCAATCCAACAAAAAAATCCAATATGGCGGTCTTCAAAATTTAGCGACATAGAAACAACCGATTTAGTCTGGAAAATTGAACTTTGGTACATAAATTCATCCGAAAAATTGGTCGCGAAAATGTATTAGTGCAATGGTAACCTTAACTGTGCATTTGTGGAGTCTGAAAAATTCGCCAGCACCTGTAACGCAATTGATTTGCAAGCGCGGTGCCTCGTGTCACTTACTGCAGCACAGCGTGCATCATCGTGACGCATCTGAGATGCACACCGCATTGAGACCGACGACACCTGGGTTAGATGTGAAATGCAGAGAAAAAGAAGGAAAAGTTCGGACACCATTTAATGGTCTTAGAAAATTTCCACTTGCAAAAAGCTTTTCTATGCAAGCATATGAAAGCTACGACACAAGAAGTACAAAGGAAAAAAATAAAAATAAAAACTGGGCTCATGAGGCTATGAAAGGGAATAGGAGTGTACTGTAAATCACGGCATGAATTTCATCACTGGGTAAACGATGATTCTTTCAGTGCTTATGTAAGCAAAACATGACCGAGAAGCAGCAAATGACAAAACAACACGTTACATCAAAATTTGCTAGCCAGCCCTACAGAGTCTTCAGTTTGCGTAAATTCAGTTTGTTTAATATTGCGATAAAGGTAATAAGAGACCTCGACAAGCGTTTCGCAGTTAATTTTGAATCGTCTCGTAATCGCATCAAGTTAAACACTGTAACAATAATTTTTCATGTAGTGTTGTTGACTGCCACTAACTTAAATATTAACTTGTGCCGATGGCAAGTAGGCTGAACGTATTTCAGGTGTTTTTGCGAAAGGTAAACAGCCTGAGAGCCGTGCAGTTACTAGGATCACATCACAAGGCACCAACTTCAAACAACATTTTCGACTGGCACTGCAACCAAGTGATCACTTAATACAAAACCCAAACACACCATGGAAGCACAACACAACAGTAAAAATACTACCACTGAACATTTTGCGTGTTGTTCCTACTTTGGAACATGGGCGAATAAAGTCTGGCGCACTTGACAATTATACACAAGAGAGTGGCAGCGAATGGCACGTTCATCGTTCACAAAATGTGTACGGTGCATTTACAGCTTTGCCAACAGCTGCATGCACTACTGAGATGATAGCTGAAAAATTTTATCGTGGCAAGTTTGGCCGGAGAGTTTCTAGGCATACGAATCGCCAAAGTTTCCACTGAATTTCTTACACAGGACTTCTGCATTAATTGTTGAACGTGCATGTGCAGCAGCGTTGCAACACACTGCCTTTCTGCATGAGTGGTTAGATCGGATGATGTCCAAACTACACTCAAACCTCGATATATAAACCTAGATATAACGAAATATTGGTTGAAATGAACAAAATGAAGAATAGTATTGCAACAGATACAAGGTTAGGAATATACCTTCATAATAAATTTTCGGATAAATACTGAATTTAAGTTTGTGTATGATGCAACTTGATTATAATGAGGGCCGAATGCATAAGTGGGCAAGGTGGCTTTCATTTCTGGCTAAACTTAGCACATGCGAAGAAATTTTAGAGCTTGTTTGACCTTTTCGATACCAGCGCCGCTATTTCAACTAATTTCACCGATTTTGGCACAGCTTCATGCATCTGTTGCAGCCTTATATGTAACAATAGAGTTCTAAGAGAATGAATTATTAGTCAAAACAGATCAGGTTCTTTCCTCTAGCGACCCTTCAAATATGAAAGCTCTTAATGGTGGCACTAAAGGAAAAAACCATTTTTCGCGTATTAGTAAAGTTCAATTTTGCGTATTAGTATTACTATCTTCTGCAGTGCCCTTTTATGATGTGCCAGGTCGGTGCTTGGCCCAACCTGTGGCACTTACGCGATGGTTCTCCGTTCAGGTGCTGGCCGTCTCGGACATAGTGATCTACCGCACGCGGGCTGAGCGGCTCACCACGGACCTGTTCACGTTTCTCGGGGACGCCTCTCAAGCTTACGTCAGCCACTTTGCGCACGAGCTCAAGGCACTCAAGGAACGCTGCAAGCTCGACAAACCCATCTCGGCGTTGGGGCCCGCTGTAATTATTTTCCACGAGACGATGCACACCAAGCCGCTCGCTGCTAGCGGTATGCACAATTCGGTATCTCAGTATTTATTACTAACCAGTGAGTATTACGCTGGAAGGTCAGGCGGTGCCAAAGTGTATGTAAATAGCGTAGATGCAGATGCCTTCTGAAGTTATACCTGACTGGGGAGAAACGCGGCGAGCAGTGTAGTTGTTTCACTGAATTGGCCATTGTGACCAAGTGGCTGTGCCCTCAGATTGGCTAGACTGGGGGCTTGACTTGGCGGAAAGCTACTAGTGTTGCCAGCCGCAATTTAAAATAATCGAGGTATTAGCGCGCAGCATGAAGGAAGGAATACTGCAGAGAGGCCGTTGCATCGCATTTTGTGAAGCCAAAAGTAGGGAAGGGTAGAGAACTCTCCTCCTCGCATTGTTGGTCACACTGTGGCGGCTCGCGTATGCGCAACTGGCACCTACAAAAGGCAGGCGAGCCGGGCGAACCGATGTCAAACGTGCCAAGCAACAGTGTCGTTGCCATCTGATAGACGAGCTGTGAAAACGAAACTTTTGTGCTGATAGAGAGCAAATATTCTGCAACACACCCTTGTCTAGGGCCTGTGCACCATTCGCATTCTCATTACAGCTCATATTGTGCATCTACAATCAACTTGCAGATTTTCACTTTGTGTTTAATACATTGAATACAAGAGAGCAATGGCGCGAATCGGTTGGATAATTGCCCCGAACAAGCCGTTTTCTTCGGTAGAGACGGTAAGTTCGGGGGTACGGAACATAATGCAATAGTGCATAATGCAAGACTATTTAAAATGGCCTCATGAAGCGTCTCAGAAACCGAGAGTGTCAATATAAAGAGTGGCAATAGTAAAGTTAAATTAGTAAAATTCAATTACAATCCTGAAAATGCCACTCTTACTGCAAGAAGACGCTTGGTAAGTGAAAAAAAAAACACTCGAAAAAAATGTGCGTGGAGAGACTATCTTGCCATTCCCGCACAAAACATCACGACGTCATTGGTTTTGAAGGAGTCTAGAAGATCCTACACAGCTGGTAATTGATAAAAAATATAGCATATTGTCATCTGTGGGTGCCATAGACCTTTCACAGGAAGTTTTAGAAAATTTCATTGAGACAATGTGGTGAAAATATGAAAACCACATTTTGAAGGAACAGTCTATCCTTTTTTTCCCCACTATTATTGAAACTTTGGGCATTAGAGTGCTTAGAGTGCAGTCTATCAATCTAAACCGGGTCACTGTTGCTCCCTAGTGTCCCTTTAAAATGGGAGTTGTGTAAGCTCCGCTGCGCCGATGCGCATTTCTGTGCCACCAACTCACCTTGAGCGCTTGGAATATGACTTCGACGGGTCTTGCGGAGCGCACCGTGGCATTGTCCATCACCTTCTTCACTGTCGTCCTCAAACCGTCAAAGCACGTCGGCAACCCCACTGTCTGTATGCCAACATAGTGCAAGTCGCTGAATGCATCGATGCTACGCTTGTTCTGCTCGAACCGCTTCTTCAGTTCCTCAACGGCAGACTTGGGATCCTCTGGAATGCAACATGATATGAAACTGTGTTAGGTCCAAAGCTGTGCTTTCAGGTACAGTTTTAAATGTTTATAACAAACTAGAGAGTGCCGTGAAAAGTGGTCGTTGCAGAATATTTTACAGCGCTACCCGTTGCGCTGTAAGATATTCTACGAACCGAACGAACACAATGAACCCTGTGGCACTGTTACATTTTCTACGATGAACATCCACCAACTTACCCAACTCGCGATCCTGCTTCAGAAAAGTGGTCGTTGTATATCAGTTGTTCGTTATAAATGAACTCGCCCATAAAAGTGCACTTAGCAACCAAGCCTTTCTTTTTCTTTTCCTACAAATTTTTCTTAAAATCTGCCAATTAGGCTTGCACAAACAAATAGTAAATTCTAGGTTCGAAGCAAATTTGATGCGAATACAGCTTATGCTCACTATCACGGACCCATGTACAACAGATTTTCGGACACAACTGACAATTATTCAACCTAAGTTTGGTCTGCGCATTAAACTAATAGAACGGACTTCGCTTTCAACCAACCCCGATGCAACAGGCCATCGGCTACAGTGAATGAAATTAGTGGCATTTTTCTTTTGAAATTAGGCGCATAAAGCATACGTTTGCTACGTTGACGCGGGCTGACAACAGATTTGACCACGCCGCTCTCTGCGTGCCATGGAGGAAGGAAAGCTAAGAAGAGGTCCTCACAATCTAAGTTGCAGAGCGAAAAGTGTGGCCGAAGTCGCGTGCTTTTGCAGGGAAGTTGTGGGATTCCGTGGTCACCCTGTCGTCTTGCGTCGTCTGCACTTCAAAGATAGTGCAATGTGTTAGAAAGCTACAGTGAGCATTGGTCGACGTTACGAGTTTAGTTTATATTGCTTGCGCTCAAAAGCGGTAGTTTTTTAAGCTCGCGACCACTTCTCTGAAAATGATTGACGCCGCAGCTTCGCTGTTTTCCTTCGGCACTGTGCTGTTGCGTGCCTCAGCGATGAAGGCTAGCAGTTCCAGTGTACGGCGATCAGAACTACTGGAAAGCAGTACGTAGCCCACTGTGCTTCCTCACCAAAGGTTGCCAAATCCAAATTTATAGATGTGCGCCTGCCTGACAAAGTAAGGAGACTTTTTGTTATTGCAATTATATGAACGCTCTCGGCTGGATTTCAACGCTGGCGTTGATGTCATGCGCCGTATATGTATAAGTATCTATATATATGAAAACGAAAAAAATAAATTTATCACAGAAAAAAAAGACCCCGGTGTGCGGAACGGAACGCGAGGACCTCCGCGTCGTGAATGCGAGGCGTTAACTACTGAGCCACCGAGAGGTACCTCCTTCAATGTTCAAACGGCAAGCTATTCATATCTACCACTTACCGCTGTTGGCAGGCGTCTCGGGAAGGGAACTACAGTTAAACCTCGTTATAAGGAAATTGGAGGGCCGCCGCTATTTGCTCCTTATAACCAATATTTCGTTATAGCGGTAGCCGGCATTTACCACAAATATTATGCACTGTACTTACCCCCAAAAAAATAGCGGGCGAAATAGCATCCCGCCGCATGGTGGTATGCAACAAAATAACCGCATTCCCAAATAAAAAGGAAAAAGCCATGCACCTGTTTTAATGCATTTCAGGCAGACTTAGCTGCAAAGAAGTCCATAATTGGACGTTGATGCATCTTCCTGATGCGAACGATGGCTCGCTCAGCTGCGGCCGCAATGTTCAAGCCATCTTCGCCGCCCTCGTGAGCGCCGAAGTAGCGGCGCAGTATGTCCACCGCGTCTAATGCCTCCGACGCCGTCGGCACGTTTGTCTCCTGTTCATCGACAGAGTCATCGTCACTCGTTTCGTTACGATCACTGACAGCGCGCACAATATCGTCATTCAGGAGCTGCTCCGTTGCCACCACTTCCGAGTCCGCACTCACATAGTCGCAAAACGACTCGCTGTCAGGCACGACACCAGTGTCACGAAGTGCCGTCCATGATGCAGCGACTTCGTCTGATGTGGCAAAACCGTCCGGCACAGTGGGCTCGTCTGATGGCTCATCGCTGGCGTCTGGTGCGGCAGCAAATGAGGCGTGTCGAAAGCAGTTTGCGATCGTGGTCGCCGTCACACTCATCCACGCCGCCTGAAGCATTTCGAGCGCAGCGTACAAGTCAACATCGGTGTCTCGCTTCATCCTCATGTTGAGCAGGAGCTTGTCTATCACACGCTTGCGGTAACCTGCCTTCAGCGACATAATCACACCTTGGTCAAGCGGCTGCATTTTTGCTGTGCAGTTGGCAGGAAGGAACAGCAGCTCGATGTTTTGAAGCACGGCAGCGGTATGGTGGGCGGTGCAGTTATCTAAAACAAGGCACACCTTGCAGTTCGCCTTTGCCAGCTTCTTGTCCCATTCGCAAAGCCATTTTGAAAAAATCTCCCTGGTCATCCAGGCTTTGCGATTGGCTACGTACTTGACTGGGAGCTGCCTCTTCCCCTTAAAACAGCGAGGGGATGCACTTTTGCCAATTACGAAAATAGGCAACTTCTCAGAACCGGTCATGTTTGCACAAAGTAGCGCAGTGATCCGCAGCTTACTTTGTTTGCCGCCAGGGCGCGGCTCGCCTTTGAGGGCAAACGTCTTGTGCGGCAACATCTTGACAAAGAGAGCGGTTTCGCCCGCGTTAAAAATATCCTCCGCGCTGTATTTTTCTAGCAGCTGCACGATGTTTTCTTTCGCCCACTTGGTATGGTAGCCTCTGCTTCGTCGACAGATTGCGATTCGCCGCAGACCGCTCTCCCGACAATGTCGTAGCGCTCCTTGAAGCGTTGGAGCCAACCCGAACTTGCTACGAAGTTGTCATAGCCCATGATGCAGGCAAAGTCTCTCGCTTTTCTTTGCAGCAAGGCGCCGCTCACCGGCAGATTCACGGCCCGCGTGTCCAAGAACCATTTAAAAACGGCCCTATGACCGCTTCAAAGGCAGGTGCCCTCATCGTCTTAGCGCTTCCTTTCACGCCACGTGCAACAGCGTCGATGATGGACTCCTGCTTGCTCAACATGGTTGACAGTGTGCTCGTCGATACGCCAAAGTCTCTTGCCACGTTGCCTTTCTTGGTCCCCAATTCGACAGCTCTTATCATAGCCGCCTTCTGATCTAGCGTTCTGCGCTTTCGCTTCCCGCCTGGCGCATTCATGTTGCTGGAATCACGAACGCAGCACGATAAAATATAAGGTGGAAGTGATCGAAAAAGAGAAGAAACACGCACGCAAAAGCAACGCGGCTCACGTCGGCGAGGGACAACACTTGCAGAGAAAGTGACTGTGAAGAGGAAGGGGCAGAAGGGGTGCTCTTTTGCGCTGCCCTCTAGGAACTGGTTACTCAAGGGGAAGGGGGTACGTAAGATTAGGAAGCGCGCCTCAGTGCCATGAGAAAGGGGAGAGAGAGAATATAAAGAAGACACAAAAGAAAAGGGCGAGACGTTTGCGGAGCTGCAGAGCGCTCCGCTGTCGGTGGTAGCCAAGCGGCGCACGTGCAGCGACCTCTCCTCCGGAGACAGCGCGTGCCGTCTGAGGTCCGTTCGATTCGCCTGCACCACGTGAACCAGTTCACGAGGTGCTGCACCTTGCTATTCGTTTCAGCGGTGCAGCATTGATGACTGCTGAACCCTGCCACTCGTTTCGAAAGGTGCAGAAGAGGTGCAGCACCGGTTCACGATTTTCCTGCACCTCCTTCGCTGAAGATGCCGGCTTGGTGCAGGCACGCAGCTGAGCAGACGACGCAGCACTTGGACGTTGGTGGCTTAGGCGCCGTACCCGCCTCTACAAATGCGGTGTGTTTTGCCAAGATGTTTGCGCCTCACAAACTGTCCGCATGTGCGTTTCGCCATAGGTCAGTGTTTGCTGAACGGTGTAAACTAACCGAAAAGAAATAAGGCCAACACCTTGTCGGCACATCGTCATTTGTTTCGGGTGTCGTGCTGTGCCTGCACCGCTGAAATCACGCTGCACAATTTCTGAACTTCGGGTGCACAGCCGTGAACCGGTTCCGACCGGTGCAGGTGGATCGAACGGACCTCTGCTTTGCGCGCACTGCTGGAGGGCGCGTGACGGGAGTTTTGAACTGCTAAATACAGTTCTCGCGTGGCGCGCCGTTTCAAATTCGCGTTGTGCACTGTAGCGACATCGGCTCAAAATTTTACTTCCTAACAAAATTTGTTCGTTATATCCCATAACAGGCAAATTTTGCCTTGTTAAAACGAGGTTTTGAATACATTGGTTTGTATGGGGACTTTCAAGGAGAATTAGGATTTGCTCGTTATATTCATTATTTCGTTATAGCCCATCTCGTTATAACAAGGTTTAACTGTATCATGTTTTCAGCATTATCAGCAAGATGGCAAGTGAGCGTGCGGCGGCTCTCATCTCTCACGCGTACTTTGTCCCCCGTAGAGAATAAGAGGGTGTACACTCAACCGCGCGCCCTTATATTGCTGTGGGTGAATCGTACGTCTTGGCTAGCCTTTGGGTTTCGACGGAACGATTTTGTCGTAGTTACCGGGTGCACAAAGGTCAATGCAATTGTTGCACAGCCTCCGTTTATGAAAAGGGTGCGCTTTTAAGACACAGCGAAGTAACAACTGAGGTGCTTATTCGCATTCATCTGTACCTGTGAGTACGTTTCGTGTATCACTTATACATGAAAAACGCGGGGCACATTGCGATCTGCTTGCCACTCTGCGTGTGACCTTCCAATTTGTTGCCACCGCGTTCACTGCTTCGCCTTCATGGCAAAGCTGTGACTTGTTTTAAATATCGCATCCTGTTTACGTTTTGCGCACGATAAACCTCATTTGGCCTAAACCTCATTTGGCCAAGTTATTTTCAATATGGTTGCAGTCCACCGACCTGTGTTGCTGCGAACGATACTCATGTGCACGTATATTGACACTCTCGGTTTCCGAGACGCTTCATGAGGCCATTTTAAATAGTCTTGCATTATGCACTATTCCATTATGTTCCGTACCCCCGAACTTACCGTCTCTACCGAAGGAAACGCCTTGTTCAGGGCAATTATCCAACCAATTCGCGTCATTGCTCTCTTGTATTCAATGTATTAAACACAATTGTAGATGCACAATATGAGCTGTAATGTAATGCGAATGGTGCACAGGCCCTAGACAAGGGTGTGTTGCAGAATATTTGCTCTCAATCAGCACAAAAGTTTCGTTTTCACAGCTCATCTATCAGATGGCAACGACACTGTTGCTTGGCACGTTTGACATCGGTTCGCCCGGCTCGCCTGCCTTTTGTAGGTGCCAGTTGCGCATATGCGAGCCGCCACAGTGTGACCAACAATGCGAGGAGGAGAGTTCTCTACCCTTCCCTACTTTTGGCTTCACAAAATGCGACGCAACGTCCTCTCTGCAGTATTCCTTCCTTCATGCTGCGCGCTAATACCTCGATTATTTTAAATTGCAGCTGGCAACACTGGTAGCTTTCCGCCAAGTCAAGCCCCCAGTCTAGCCAATCTGAGGGCACAGCCACTTGGTCACAATGGCCAATTCAGTGAAACAACTACACTGCTCGCCGCGTTTCTCCCCAGTCAGGTATAACTTCAGAAGGCATCTGCATCTACGCTATTTACACACACTTTGGCCCCGTCTGACCTTTCAGCGTAATACTCACTGGTTAGTAATAAATACTGAGATACCGAATTGTGCATACCGCCAGCAGCGAGCGGCTTGGTGTGCATCGTCTCGTGGAAGATAATTACAGCGGGCCCCAACGCCGAGATGGGTTTGTCGAGCTTGCAGCGTTCCTTAAGTGCCTTGAGCTCGTGCGCAAAGTGGCTGACGTAAGCTTGAGAGGCGTCCCCGAGAAACGTGAACAGGTCCGTGGTGAGCCGCTCAGCCCGCGTGCGGTAGATCACTATGTCCGAGACGGCCAGCACCTGAACGGAGAACCATCGCGTAAGTGCCACAGGTTGGGCCAAGCACCGACCTGGCACATCATAAAAGGGCACTGCAGAAGATTCTTAAACAGCCACAGCAATTAGGTTCATGCCAAATTAACGAGAAGAGGAGGTAATTGGTCGTATCAAACCTGCCAAAGTCGAGATACTAGCAGAGATTCATGAATAATATGAAGAAACTAAAGAACTGTTCCAAGAAAAATTTGTGATGGGGCTAATTGCATGCCAAATGCCTGTCTCTTGTGAGGAAGTATGGCAAAATTTTACCCCAAGTTTGACAACATCTAAGACAGACAAGTCTGCGGCATTGCAGTTGTTTGATTGATATGTGGGGTTTAACGTCCCAAAACCAAAATATGATTATGAGAGACGCGGTAGTGGAGGGCTCTGGAAATTTTGACCACCTGGGGTTCTTTAACGCGCACCAAAATCTGAGCACACGGGCCTACAACATTTCCGTCTCGATCGGAAATGCAGCCGCCAAGGCCTGGAGTTCATCACGTGACCTGCGGATCAGCAGCAGAGTACCTTAGCTACTAGACCACTGCGATAAGGCGGCATTGTAGTTCAATCAAAGCTGCAAAGCACATTACTAGAAAACTTTCCTGACAGCCACTATGCTACTGTGCCGAGAGAATCACTGTCACAACTACTGTGCTAAGAGAATGGTCTAAGGCTGAATAATTGCTCTATGCAAACAATCTGTGTGGACTATCAGTGTGGATGGTCATCACTGGGTATTGAGCACAACAATTTGCACCCTGCAATTCATAGATATGGAAATGCAACACAGTGGCACATTTGTGAACGAAGAGGCACGGCAAAGGGGGAACAAATTACACTCAAACCTCGATATAACAATCCCAAATATAACGAAATATCAGTTATAATGAAGCAAATGAGAAATAGCCTTGCAACAGATATAGTGTTAAAAATAAACATATATAACAAATTTTCCGTTATAGCAAACTTATCTCATGTAAAATGCAACATTGTTATAATGAGGACTGAGTACTACAGTGCTGCTTCATTGCTCAGCTTCAATGAACTTCCATTACAAAGTTATGCAATACAATTATGTAGGTTTAATGTCCTAAAACCTTTAGATGATTATGAAAGATGCTGTAGTGTATGGTTTTTGAGCCTTAGTAGTGAATTTTGACCCCAGAGATTCTTTAAGGGGAGATGCTCCTCGAAAACACTTTTTCTTTAATATTATACCTTGTTGCGCCTTTGTGTAGCGTGGTGCGGACTCGGGCCATCCGAGTCCCCGGAGAGGACGAGTAGAGAAGCCGGAGAAGGAGAAAAAAATGTTTATATACAGTATTTACATGGTAGCGTGGTACAACATGAAAAGAGAATCACCCACGAGCGCCTCTGCGCTAGCGTTTTTATACATCGTCCGCCTTCCCAAGATCCCTTGCAAAGATAATTTATGCGCAGGATACTCCAATGAGATCGTCGTCTTCCTCTCCGGCCCCGAAGAGGGAAAGCCAAACACCGCCTCCCTCTGAACCTAGGAAAGGGGGCAAGGCATGCCCAGTTCGCTGTTTGGTGAGGGAGACCCCACGCGCCAGCGTGGCACCACAGTGAGATGACGTGGAATCCCATGCGCAAAGTCGCTCCCTGATGCAGCCAGGTTGACTCAAGCAAGGCAGAATACCCCGTACAGCTGCTGGGTCGACGCTGCTTCGGAGTGTTGCTCTCGGCGGCTGACAAAAGCTTGGCCAACGACTTTTGTGTCAAGAGGAGCCGGCGACGTGGTTTTTCCCGATTGTCCACGTCCGTCGCCGTCCCGGTGCAGGGTTGACTCATCAACAGCTGCCAGGTGCCAGCAGGCCGCGAAGACCACGTGGAACTTGGGCGAGGCACAACAGCACCCCCGCCGCCAGATGATACATCGGGAGGTCGAGTTGTTCCATGCAGCTCGGCCGGGTCGATGTCGGCGACGTTCCGGCAAGGCTCTTGCTTTCTCGAAGGGCCTGGTCAAACTGGAATGCTCCAAGAGCTGGCCTCTGCGCCCCGCTTCGGTGAAAAGTGGGTGACAAGCTCCAAGAAACGACCTTTGTCAGCCACACACAATGCGACAAGCACCGCGTGCACGCCACTCTCATCGCCAGGCCTCAGATTTTACAAAGCAAACATCTTATCTTAATAACTTAAGCTCAAGGAAACAATGTGCATACCAATCGGGACAAGTGTCCAGTAACTCTTTCATACGTAATTTCATTTGGAATCGAGATAACATTATAATCAAGCTAAACAAGCAAACTGTAGAGCTCGGGACAACGAGGGAGTCAGTAAAAAATTTCTCTATGCCCTCACTGTAACACATTGAAAAAAAAAAAGTACACATTAACTAGGTAAAGGTAAACAAAAAAATCAAACAAACCTTCCGCGTCTTTTGACGAGTCAAAACGCTCGACTTAGGGCGTCTGCATTTGTATGAAGGCCACCTCTCTTGTAGCGCACCTCGAAATTGTGCTGCTGCAGTGCTATGCTCCATCTGAGCAAACGACCATTCTTAGGTGACATTTGGTGTAACCAGGTTAGTGGAGAGTGATCAGTTTCTATAATAAACTTAGAGCCAGCAACATAGCAGCCTAGTTTTTGTACGGCCCAAACAATGCAAGCACATTCTTTTTCCGAAGTGCTATAAGCCTCTTCCCTGCTGCTCAATTTGCGACTCAAATACAAAACCGGCCGCTCCTCTCCACTCTGGTCCGTCTGACATAGCACTGCTCCTAAACCGCGTTCGCTTGCATCACACTGAATAGTGAAAGGTTTTGCAAAATCCGGTGCCCTCAAGACGGGTTTCTCACTCAATGCGTGCTTCAGCTTCTGAAAAGCGTCTTCCTTTTTAGAGTCCCATTGAATGTTCACAGGTTCGGTCTTGCGTAAACTATCTGTCAAAGGGCTGGCAATCTCGGAGTAATTCGGGACGTAATGCTGATAGTAACCTGTGAGGCCGAGGAATGCTCTCATCTCGGTCTTAGTGCTGGGACGACGATAACCGACCACCGCGGCTACCTTGAGTTCGGACGGTCGACGACGCCCATTTCCTACAATGTGCCCTAAATAGCTTACTTCAGCACAGCCCAAATGACATTTCTCTCTCTTTACCGTAAGACCTGCATTTTTGATCCGTTCCAAAACCATCCGAAGGTGTTCAACATGGTCTTCCCATTTGTCCGAAAATATCGCCACATCGTCTAGGTAAGGCAGCGCAAATTTCTCGAGCCCGTGGAGAACCTTATCCATCAGGCGGCTGAAACAATACGGTGCGTTCTTGAGCCCAAAGCTCATCATCAAAGGACGAAAAGTGCCCAGGGGTGAGATAAAAGCAGCGTATCGACTCGCGCGCTCTGTCAAAGGGACCTGCCAATACCCCCTAACAAGGTCTAGCGTAGAAATGTATTTCGCCTTAGACACTGTCTCTACCCTCTCTTCAATGTTAGGAATAGGGTAAGTCTGGTCGATTGTTACAGAGTTCAGGCGGCGATAGTCCACGCATGGCCTTGGATCACGGCCCGGAATCTCAACCAAAATCAAAGGCGAGGTGAAATCACTGTCTGCTTCGATGATAACACCTAGGTCGATCATGCGGCGAATTTCGGCCTCTAGTATCTCTCTCTGTCTAGGTGACACCCGATACGGCTTACAGCTGATCGGCTTGTTAACCGTCAGCTCAATGTCGTGCTTAATCACATCCGTTTTGCCTGGCTTCTCGGAGAAAACGGTAGCGAATTCCTGTACTAAAAGCTCTAAATCTTCCTCTTGAGCCTTACTTAGGGTGTTCCCTGTGTCTACCCTATCTGACAATGTGCTGCTGACCGTGCCATCGGAAAGACAAAGGATTTCCGCGCCCTCGTCCTCAGGAACATTGAGTGCAAGGTTTACTACTGCTTTTCGTCGCATGTAGGGTTTCATTAGGTTACTGTGATACACTTTGGGGCATTTCCGGCCCCACTTTACCTCGTAGTTGGTGTCTGAAAGCACTGACATCACTGTCGCTGGTCCCTCCCATTGTACGTCCAGCTTGTTTTTTCTTGAAGGGCACAACAGCATCACCTCATCGCCCACTCTAAAGACTCGCTTTCGAGCTGACTTATCGTAACGGGCCTTGGAAAGCGCCTGTGCTGCGCGCATGTTGCTCTCCACCACTTCGCGTGTAGTCCCCAGTCGCCCCAATAAATCCAGTACATAGGAAACCACATTAGAGTCCTCCCCATATCCAGTCCATGACTCTCGTATCAAGTGCAGCGGACCTCTCAAGTTCCTGCCGTAGACAAGTTCAGCCGGACTAAAACCCGTACTCTCGTGTGGGGCCGACCTCAGAGAAAACATCGCAGCTGGTATACACCCCTCCCAGTCACTTTTATGCTCAAAGCACAAAGCTCGCAAAACGCGTTTCATGACCGAGTGCATGCGTTCCACAGGGTTCGACTGTGGATGGTGAATAGAGCTATGCGCGATTTTTATCCCGCAGCGTTCTAGGAATGTAGTCGTAAGGCAGCTTGTGAACACACTTCCGTTGTCACACTGTATCTCCGAGGGAAAACCCACCCGAGAAAAAATAGACAACAATGCGTCCACCACGCATACTGAACTCAACTCTTTCAGTGCGATTGCCTCCGGGAACTTGGTGGCAACGCACAGCGCGGTCAGGACGTACCGATATCCTGATTTAGATGGAGGCAGAGGCCCCACGATGTCAATCACGAGCCGACGGAAGGGTTCTGTGATTATTGGCACTAGTTTCATTGGTGCCTTCCATTTGTCTGTTGATTTTCCTATCCGCTGACAAGTGTCGCATTCACGGACAAACATCTCTACATCCTTCCAGCACCCGGGCCAGTAGAACTCCTGAGCCAGCTTAGCTTTCGTTTTCTTTATACCTAAGTGGCCCGCCCAGGCGTTGCTGTGGGCCAGGTCGAGAATGTTCCGCCGGTATTTTAGTGGAACTACCACTTGGTTGT